GTATTTAGATTTTTTTGCAGCCTCAGATTCCAGATTTTCAAATAGTTGTATCTCGGCCAAATATTGTCTGATCCTAACAAACCATACATCAATGGAAAGCTTAGCTTTCAGCTTTCAGATGATTTATAAACCTCAATTTCAAAAAATTGACCCTTATGACTGGTTTAGTGGTCCAGTGTCAGATATAGTCGTAAATATACGAGTATGTGAATGCAAAGGCATCTACTAATATGGTTTCATACACTGTGCTATAACTGCTGCAGATTAACTATGGAAGTATGATTATCTCCACTACAGTTTGAAGAGACACTTGCGGAGCAAGTTAAAGGTGTCATATGATGCTTTTTTAAAGATCATTATTTTGTGTATTTGGTGTAACAGAATATGTTGACATGCTTTAAGATAAACCGTAAACCTAGGGGAAACACTGCACATGAGGGTTTTTTTTCCTAACTGATAGTTATGCACTGAAGTTTATGTAAAATTTGTTCAGCTGAAATAGTGGCGGAGTGTTTCCAAAGAACTTTACTGAACAGCATTTCGAGTTCATTTACCCAAACTGAATTACTGAATTTATTTTTACCTAAATTTGGATAAAACTTTTATTTCGTTTCAGTGAAAATAGCTCATTTCGGTGCATCACTAACAAAATTCTGTCGCATTTCCCACATCAAATTGTTTCTTGTTTCTGCCTCTGTATTGTTTTTTGCTTGGATTATGTATTTGTTTTACGTTTTATGTATTCAAAAAGTGACCTTAAGGTATATAAAATATAAATATGTAAGTATTATTATTAACTGGTAGCCCCATAAATCCAGTTCAAGGAAGTTCTGATCCTCGTGCAGCATTAACATGTGAATGGAAACGTGTCGCGTCTGATGATGTAAGAGCTGTTTTTAACTCGCATGCCTCTCTCTACAGGAAATATTCTCTATAATTCTGAATCTAAACTGTGAAGTAAACTTCATGTCCTCATCTTCAGGTCAGACTGTAGCTCTACAGATGAAAGATGCAGACACTGTTTGTACGGAGCAGGGCGAGAACACTGTGAACATTCGCTATATTGTCACCCGCCATGATCACAAACATCCATTAGAAAGACAGACAAAGCGCCGTGTTACGCCCTGCCGAACGCTTTTGCATACAGACCTAAGGTTGGCAGATTAAAAATAAGCAGATTATTGCAGAAGTGAAATCATTTCAAAAAATGAAAGTATAAAAAGTTATAGAAGTTTAAATTTACTTGTACTGTAAAATGTACTGTACTATTTTTATTAGATTTTATATAAAATAAATATTTTACAAAATAGTTTTTAATCCAAAATTGCTATAAAATTAAAGCCATATGTCTAAATAAGTTGTTTTCCAAATTTGAAATTGATATAAAAAAATTTGAGGTTTCTATGCAATTTTGTTTAGGCGTTATACCAAAAATAGCCACCGGGTGCCACCCAAACTCCATTTAACTTTTTTGGATGCATTTTTCTGCCACAAATGTTTTCTCTCTCAATATTACTTCAATCACAAAATAACCAGCAATGTCCGATTTCAAAATGGTTTTCACAGGATGAATTTTGAGGTTTTAAGCTTTCAAATGATATATAATTTATGATGATTACTAAAACATGTGATAGGGAAAAATTCAACAAAAAATAATTTTTGTGACAAAGGTCTGAACTCCTGTTATGATGTATATGTTTTGAGGTGCACTAATAAATTAATCTATTACTGTTCCTACATAACTTAACAACAAACAGTGGTAAAATATCTATTTAGGAGTCTTAGACCTTTCCAACGATATATTGTTTGTCATGATTAGATTAGGATTTAATTGTAATATATTGAAGTAAACTTAGGCGTTAAACAGTATTTCAACAGCCTGACATGTCAACATCTCACTCACACAGTCTTTTCAAAGAACAGACTTACGCTATTAGATTACATAATCACAACATTTACTTTTGGCTAAATGAAAACATTCATCTCAGTTTCTGTATATAATTCCCATCAAAGAAGTTCAAGGAAGTTCTGATACTCATGCAGTTTCATTTCAGTAACTTGTGGTTGGAAATGTGTTGCATCAGATCTCTTTTAAAAAACAAACTTACACTATTAGTTGGGTCAGATCACATAATCACACGCGAAATCATTACTCAGAGCAGAGGAAACTCCAGCAGCCTAGAGAAAATCTACTATGGGTTAAACCAGACTCACTCACCAGATAGACATAGTCCTGGTTCTGGAAAGCGTGCTGGAGCTGAGGGATCCAGGGACTTGGGTTCAGGGCCAGGATGCTTCGCTCTTCCTCAAAGAACGCCACCTTTACAAGACAGAGAAGAAAGCATTTTTAATGAGATCCTGATATACATGCAACAGATACTAGTTAACTCAATTAGTCATTTAGTGGATGCTTTTATGCATTTATTATGGTGGAAATCATCCTGGAGTAAGCGGAGACTGGATTTCTTGCACAAGGACAGTGATTGCACTTAACACAGTTCATCCAATGAAGCACGCTACACACAAAAACAGCAAGAACTAGCAGAAAACCAGGCGTGTTGGCTGGTGTTAAGGTACAGTCACATTATCAAAATTTTAAAGAAAGAGGGATCAATACTAATGCTTCGTGTGCGAATGTCAGATTCAGACAAAATAAGCGCTTCATATTTTGTTTTCAAATTGCCTTTCTGAGCTTCTTGGCACTCTGTAAGGCTAATGTTGCTAAAGATATGCCTGTTTTCACTGACGCTGCCTTCACGTGCTGCCAGAATGATCGTAAATAGGAATGTGGTAGTTAAAAAATGCATATGAAAGTAATGCGAGTCGATCGCTTCAGAGTTTCTGACAGTTTCAGTGCGTGAGATTGTTGTGTGTTGCCGGTGTGCAAGCTCTTGAAGCTCCGCCCTCTTCTGAAAAGGGGGCGGGGAGCACCAGCTCATTTGCATTTAAAGGGACAAAGACAAAAACAGCACGTTTGGTCTCATACCCTAAAAGTGGCAACTTAAACAAGCTATAAAAAACAATCTGTGGAGTATTTTAAGCTAAAACTTCACATACACACTCTGGGGACATCAGAGACTCATTTTACATCTTGTAAAAAGAGGCATAATAGGTCCGCTTTAAGCAAACTAAATGAATTGACAAACTAGTCCAGATTGTTGAGTTGATATATGATTTATGATGTTTTTTGGGGAGCAAAACAAGGTTTGCACCATATCACTCTTGGTTAGGACGCAGCGTAACACTTCAGGTTTGGAGGAGACTCACATTGTCCTGTGAACGCTGGCTGGTTTTGTCCATGATCTTCATGGCGTACACATCTCCTGTAGCTTTCTCCTTCACCACCTGCACCTCGGAGAAGTGTCCCCTTCCCACGATGCCCCTCACCTCAAAATCCTTCTTAGCAGGAAGCAGTTCCTGAACTTCAGCCACTAATTCAGAATCTGACACACACAAATGGTCACAATACAACGAAAACACAGACTAAATGGCTATTTGACTGATTCCATATTAAGGTGCTTACATTTATTGACAAAGTTGGCCACATGTTTGATCTTCATGAGCTCTGGTGTGGCGCACTCTTGATAGAGCAGCAGAAAAGCATCAATCAGAGTTTCTCTGGAAACACCCGACGCGCTGCACTTTCCCTGAAAAACCACAAACATTAATTTTACAACACAAAATGTATATAGAAATAGAGTATGTTTTGCGGGAGCATGTCAATATTTTCTCACAAAATGTAATGCATTTTATAGCATTTTTGCTTTTAACCCGGAGAAGTAGTCTCGGATTCTCTCTTAATCAGCGAAAAAACACCACAAAGATGTGATTCCTGTCTGAATCTGAGCCATATTACAGCTATTTGTTCAATTCTCAGCCCTTTTTCACATCCATGAATGATTCAAGGCATTATCCTGATTTACACTTTTGCCACTCCTTTGCAGATTGTAAATTAAATGATGCATTTTGAATACTTCTTTGTCATTAAATAAGTGCATTAAATTTTATATAAATAGAATTTGAAAATAATAATAATGGACCCTTTTCACAAGACTGTGATGAAGCGTTTAACAGTCATCAGCATCGTAAATCCTCAAAAGTTTTTCATATTTGTTTTTTTTAATGTATGTACATTTATAACAATATTCTTTGTATTGTATTATATTTGCATCAAATTTTTAAGTTTTTAATTTTTAAGTTTAAGTAATCAAGTTTTAAGACTTGATTTAAAAGTAGTTAGACAAATGCTTTCTTGTATAAGTGAAAAAGGTAAAAAACCTTAATAGAAAAAAACTGAAAAAATGTAATCGAATAAACTGTATGCCATGGGAATTTTTATTGATATTTAAACACACAGTCATCATCAAATTAGGTAATATTAAGCCAAATCAGCAGATTTTTTCCCTTTAAGAAGCAGGGCCGTGCCACGTTTCACAGCAATGCAATAATAACAGCTTCAAATTCAGATATAGACACCAAACGCATGGCAAGACCAGCTGTGATCGTGAACGACACTCAATTAAGACCCACAAAATGACGAGGCACAGGTTTCTTTTACGTGCTGATGTATCTTCCACTGAAACAGGACATTTGCATAAGAAATATTGCTAAATGCTCGTCAATATTAGCCACAGTCTGACAAAAAAAGATTGCAGTAAATGAATTGGACCTCATTCGTGTGTCCTTCTAAATGTGTATATCTGCTAATGTTATTCTACCATATTTTAGTGGTATGCTATTATACAGATGATCTGAAGCCTCAGACACACTAAAGCGGTGATGAGAGCTCACCTGCAGCAGCTGATTGAGTCGAGCGCAGCGGCTGGTGATGGAGTCCACAGCAGACAGATCTTTAACACTGACGTGGCCTCCATATTTAAACTTCAACATCACTGCAGGACAAACATGAGCAATACAGTCAATACAACACGCATGTCAAATACAAGTCAGCTGCCGATCCAGTAGGGGTGTGCGATATATATCGTCTGCGATAATATCGTAATTGTTGTTTTAACGATGTGCGATTTGACATTATCGAGTATTTTGCAAAAACCATTCAAAACATCTCTACAGAGCGCACACATACATTACGTGAAGTCTAGACTAGTGCGTGTGCGCATTTAGTGTGTTTTCTTTCACTGCATGATTCAGTCTATTAAAATGCATTTAGAATGATCACAAATTCAAGACATGATGGCAGAAAATTTATATATTTATACCACTTCATATAGTTATTCAATTTCACACGAATCGCATGCGATTTATCATGCAGCCCTATTTTAAATCATTTCAAATATCAGTATTCAATGTTTTATGTTTAAAGGGGTGGTTGATTGCGATTTCACTTTTTTAATGTTAGTTAGTGTGTAATGTTGCTGTTTGATC